TTCAGCCATGGCTCCTGCCCTCTGGAACCCCCCAAGGGGAGGTCAGCCCCATCCCTGCCACCAACCTCGAAGATCCCCTGGGAAGCTGGTGAGGTGACTGTTTTTGAGTCTTCAGGTGGTTTTTTTTTATTCTCTCCCAATCTTGGTTCTCTTTATGCTTCGTGGTTTTAAGGGTTGTTATATTGTTTTGGTGGCGGTGGTGGTATGTTACCCAGAATGGCATTGGGCAGCTGTATTACATTTCTACATACGTTTAAAAAAACAACAACAACCCAGCAGCTTAAGGTTCTCGTTTTCTTTGGCTCTTTTTTGTTTTCCCAAGGATAAGCCTTTCCCTTGGGCAGAGCCACCCGCCTCCCAGCTCTAGGGTTTCCTCTCTCGGGTTTCTCTGAGGAAACTTGATGGGATGCCCTTTCGGTGGCTCAGTGGAGCAACCGGTCCGCCAGCCAGCCGCCACAAAGATGGGAGTCACAGCTCAAGTATCCTGGGTGCCCGAAGGTGCGCCTTGAACCACTCCAGGCCACCGAGAATGCTTGCTGCAATTCCTCCCCGAGAGGCAAGCTCAGGCACGCCCTCCTCCCTCCAACGGAAGCCGTCGAAACTTGCTGGCTTGCACTGGAGAAACCATCAGTTTGCAAGCTTCTCCTCTTAAAGTCACAGAGAACTCCAGGTCCATGACTTGAATCTATCCACAGGAGATATAACTGGCCCTTGGTGAGGATCTCCCATCACCTTCGCAGTGTCCATAGGGCTAGCAGAGAGGGCCAAATGAGCTACTTTGATCAAAGACAAGTTTTATTGCTTCCAGATGTTGTGTTTGAGACAAGGGGGAAAACAAAACAAAAGGAAGCCCTGATTTGCTGAGAAGTTTGTTGCGATAGAAACGGCTAGTGTATTCCAAGTGCAAAACTAAAAAACGTGAAATCCGATTACTTTTATTCTACCGCACTGAAAAGAACTGGAAGCTAATGCTTTTCTTTCTGTTGTTTCCTATTTACACATTGCACTTTCCTCCCCCCCCCCCCCATTGTCTTACTATCTTTATTTTTACTTGCATTTTGATAAGTTTAATAAAAGTATAAATAGAGTAAAAAAAAAAAACCACCACTGCAATGTAGAGGGAGGAGCAGAGAGAGCAGTGAGTAAAAGTCGAGCTTCGTGAGCGTGCAGACGTCTCCTTACAAGTACCAACAAACAGAACCCCAAGAGGCAACCAGAGCTGGCAGAATTGGAAGTTGGTGTGGTGCCCGGGACAGACACCTGGCTTACCACCCACGTCCTTTCCCAGGTAGGCGCACCAGCGGTTCCTCATGACTTCAATGGCGTCCAGGTCGTCCCTGGAGACGCGGTTGTTCATCATCAGGTGCATGCAGGGGATGACCAGCTCATTCAAGACCCCGACCCCTTCGTCCACTTCCTTCCCGTCGTGGCTTTCGAAGAGGGCGGCCGCAGCGTCGTTCAGCCTCTGCGGAAAAGCACCATGGAGAGCCGGCGGGCGAGGATTTCAGAAAGGCCCATCCCAGCATTCAGAAGGGACGCTTTAAAACAGGGGTCCCCAAACTTGGCAACTTTAAGACTTGTGGACTTCAACTCCCAGGATTCCCCGGTCCTCTTCCAGCAGCCGAGCTGGACAAAAACAGCTGCACTAACTGGACTGAGCCTTCCTGCCCTTCAGAGGCACGGCTGGCTGGGGAATTCTGGGAGTTGAAGTCCACAAGTCTTAAAGTGCTGAAGTTTGGGGACCCCTGTCTTAAAACAACCCAGCTTGGGTCTTCGCCCACCCTTTTTTTCTATAAAGTGGAATTTCTTGAGCTGGGCCCCTTGAAGGCGGCTGGGACTTCAACTCCCAGAATTCCCCAGCCAGCCGTGCCTCGGAAGGTCAGGCAAGAAGGCTGAGAAATCCAGTCCAGTTAGTGCAGCTGTTTTTGTCGAGCTCGGCCGCTTGAACAGGACTGGGGAATCCTGGGAGTTGAAGTCCAGCCGACAAGAGAACCTGTTACCTGCAGAATCAGCTGGGGAGGAGGGCTTAAAAAAGAAAAAAAGAAGGAAATAACCGCAAGAATTACCCCAAAGTTAAACTTCTCAAGTTTTAACGACTTCTAAATGAAGAGGGGCAGGCTGGGAGGATGTGGCCATTTGCAGGCACTGGATGTGGTTTACTTTTTTTAAAAAAGTACAGGTAGCCCTCAACACACCAAAATTTATGTTGCTAAGTGAGAAATGGGTCACGTGACTTTTGTCCCATTTAACAACTTTGCTCACCACCCGTTAAGTGAATGAGCTCAGTTCTTAAATGAGTAACATGGTTGTTAAGTGACTCCGGCTTCTCCATGGACTTTGCTTGTCCATGGGGAAGCCGTTGGCAAAAGGAGGCCGTCAGACATGGGAGCCAGTTGTCAAGTATCCGACTGTCAACCACGTGACTGTGGGGAGTGTGAAGTCCCTTTTTTCAGTGCTTCGAATGGTCACCAAATAAACTATTTATAAGTCGAGGGCTACCGTCCCTACAGCCATATAAGGCAGGGGTCGCCAACCTTTTGGACCTCAGGGACCACCAAACTCATAATTTTAAATCCCATGGACCACTGATATGAATTTCGACTGACAATGGCTTGCTGACTTTGGTGGGGAAGTTGGTCCCATATTCCAGGACTGGCCCTTTGGTCGTACCGGAGCAGCTACTTCTCCACCCGGGTGCACCGGCCTGTCACGGACTGGAGCAGCTGCTCCGGGATGACCAAAGGGCCAGTCCTGGAATATGGGACCGACTTCCCCACCAACGTCAGCAAGCCGCCCCGGGGCGGATTTCCCTTCCCCACCATTGGTCTTACCTTCCACTTCCAGCTCGCGTGCCTCTACTCAAGGTAAGGTTTGCGCTCGGCCGAAGAGTAGGCGGGCCATGTGGGCGGTGCGGCCTTGTGTGTCCTGCGCAGCCTGGATTAATTGCTTTTGGGGGGAGGGGGCATTTCTCTGCAGACCACCCAAATTTTCTCATGGACCACCAGTGGTTCCCGGCCCACCAGTTGGCGACCGCTGGTATAAGGAGCATTCAGCAATATCCCCTTTTCAGCGTAAGCCCAAATGACAGCGAGGGGAATGATGTGAAGACTCTGCCCCCCCCCCCCCCTTTCCAACTTGTGGAAGGGGGGGGGGAGGGGAAGGGTCCCCTGAATACCCACCAGGAGGCATTTCCTTCTGTAAAGAGCGATCAGAGAGGAGTCCGCGCCCCGGCTGGCTCCTTTGGCCTGCAGGACGGTGTTGGTCTCATAGGCGTACACCAGATAGGTCAGAGCCTCGCAGTATCTTTAAGAGGGCAAGAAAAAAGGGTGTGTGTGTGTCTGTCTGTCTCATATCCTGTAGGATGGAGGAACACATCATCCCTGGTACATGTGCCACCGCTTCCCTCCCTGGCAGACAGGACCGGCTGCAACCTGGGGCTGAACCTGGCCTGGCCTGGCCGCCCAATACCCTCTCCTGGCCCGCAGGGATCCTGACGGGGTTACTTTCTCCTCTGTTTCTCCCTGGAATGGTAAGAGGGTCTCCTGCTTGAGCAGGCAGGGAGGATGGACTAGAAGACCTCCAAGGTCCCTTCCAACTCTGTTCTTCTTCTGATATCCAGTCTCAGGCTCCACCTTCAGGCCATCCTTTTTATTTGGTTTATTCTGGAGGCCAAAGGCTTTTATCAAGGGGAGTTTAACTGCCACGGAGACGTTTTAGGATTTCCTCCTGCGCTTAAAAATAACCAAAAATGTATCATTGTTCTGATCCGGTTAGGAGCAGCGGAAGAGGAGCAACTTCAGGGAGCCCTTCCCAAAGCGCGGGAGGAATTCGAACAACCCGCCTCTGTTCCCTCCTGAGGATGATCAGAGTGTTTTTGGAATCGCCCAGATTCAGCTTTCTGGACAAAACGGAACTTTTATTATTGCTTATTAAAATCGAGTCGTTTCTCCTCGGATTGTACAAAATTGTGTAATGATCTGGCGAAGTGCACAAAACCGAGGCAGGACGGACCAAACCCAATACTGCCCACCTGTAGACGACTCCAGATGTGTCGCTGTGTCTGTGGAAGCATCAACTCGAGGCCTGAAGCCTTTAGAGAAGGGCTCTCCCACCTTGGCCACTTTAAGCCTGGTGGACTTCAATTCCCAGAATTCCCCAGCCAGCAAAGCTGGCTGGGGAATTCTGGGAGTTGAAGTCCTCCAGGCTTAAAGTGGCCAAGGTGGGAGAGCCCTGCTTTAGAGCCCTTCCTGAAATCACCGCGGGTGAACTCACTGGTTTTTCTGATAGAGCTCCAACCCCGTCAAGAGGTAGATGGACACCTTGCGGAACAAGCTGTAGTCTTCGTGCCATTTCTGTCCAGAAACAGAAAATACAAGTCTTGGTAGTTGTTTTATGTTCCACTCCACCAACACCACCACCCCTCCCTTCTTGGTGCTGTTGCCCTGGCCCAGGTGGCCTCTGGCGTGCCTGAGTCACGCCAAGCAAGAGGTGGATGATTCATCTTAGAGGCGCATTGTGGCTAAATGTAAGCTAGTGGATGGGCGTAAGGAGCACCCCAAAGTGGTTTGTTTGTTTGTTTTTCAACAGAGGAGGTTGGGACAGGGAATTAGGAACTGGTCTGCTTTTCACAAAAGCTACGTGTGTGTGTGTGTGTGTGTGTGTGTGTGTGGTTTGAAAGTCAGGGCTTCTTACCTTGTACTCTTCCATGTCTACCTCGTCTGGGCCAATTCCTTTCAGCTTTTCTCGGGCCACCTTCATAATGCTAATTGACCTGTTGCCCAGAAGAGAGAGAAGGAACACTGTGAATTCCGTGTGTGTGTGTGTGTGTGTGTGTGACATCTAGTCCAACATTTTCAATTTCCTTTGCTTCCATCAAAACGGAGGACCGGTGGCTTCCCAATACCTGGAACCCGAAGATGAGCCTCAGTGGCGCAGTGGTCAGAGTGCAGTAATTGCAGGATACTTCTGCTGACTGCCAGCTGCCTGCAATTTGGCAGTTCGAATCTCACCAGGCTCAAGGTTGACTCAGCCTTCCGTCCTTCCCAGGTGGGTAAAATGAGGACCCAGATTGTTGGGGGGGCAAGAGGCTGACTGTAAACCGCTTAGAGAGGGATGTAAATGTCTACGAGCTATTGCTAGTGTTATTTCCTTCCTTCCTTCCTTCCTTCCTTCCTTTCCCTTCCCTTCCCTTCCTTTCATTTCCTTCCTTCCTTCCTTCCTTCCCTCCCTCCCTCCCCCCCTTCCTGTTAGAATGCAATATTGCAAGTTAATTCTGCCGACTGCCAGGAGTTCGATCCTTTTCCAGCTCAAGGTTGGCTCAGCCTTCCGTCCTTCCCAGGTGGGTAAAATGAGGACCCAGATTGTTGGGGAGCAAGACGCTGATTCTGTAAACCGCTTCGAGTAATAGCACTGGGAAGCGGTATATAAGTCTAAGGGCTATTGCTCTGGTCTCTCCTTCTGGTCTCTCGTGCGTGTCCGAATCCCAAGGAACCCCCCCTGCAAGCCAACCCCCAAAGCTCGGAGACCCTCCAGGGTGCCCCAGTTCAACTGGGAGCTACGAATCCTCTCCTGACCGTCCCTCACCACCTGCTTCCCACCAACCTCTCGTCGTAGCTGAGGTTCCTGTCTGCAAACTGCTCCAGGAGGGTCCTCTCCACCACCTGCTTGGGGGCGTCGTTCTGCAGCAAGTAAACCAAGACGTGTTGAAGGCGGGGGTCATTCTGGGGTGTTGGGGTCTCTCTGGACAAGGAGTACAGCCTGGAATATTCTTCACGGAATGCCTGGGGAAATTGGGGGTTGACATGGCTCTCACTCCAGCTCCTTATGAATCCACGATAACAGAGTCTGCCCTTCTTTTGCAGCGGATTTCAAGGGAAGGGAGATTTCTTTTACCCTAACATGCCAAGACTTTACAACAGAGGCCCCCAAACTTGGCAACTTTAAGACTGGCGGACTCCAACTCCCAGAATCCCAAACTTGGCAACTTTAAGACTGGTGGACTCCAACTCCCAGAATCCCAAACTTGGCAACTTTAAGACTGGCGGACTCCAACTCAAGCTCTGCTAGCTGGAAAATGGCTGAAGTCCACCAGTCTTAAAGTTGCCAAGTTTGGAGACCTCTTCAGGCCCCTGCTGGAGGTGCCAGAGATAGCAAAGGAATCTCTAAGATAGTAGAATGAACAAACGTCCTAAATATTAATCAGTTCCAGTCATGAAGTGATTATCGTTTAGGATTGTCTAGTTCGATCCTAGGCAGAGGCAGGTATTTCTCTCTGGGCACAATGGGAATTTATCTGCTGAACAAAACTCCACAACGGCGACAGGAAGGGCATCCAGTCAGTAAACATTCTGCTCCATTCAGTTGCCCTGACTCCACCCCGCAAGGGATTATGGGGTCCTTAAAAGGAGATGATTGTCTACCATAGCTCTTTTGACCTCACTGTTTATTTTGGGGCGTTTTCCTATTTTATTGCTCTTCCACGTTGACCAGAGAAGGATGCTCGTACAGCACAGATGGATTCTAAGTGTCCCAGAATTCCTACCATTGTAGAACACAATGGGGCTAAGGGACACTTTAAGGCGTATGTGATCTGGGACAAAAGGAATAAACAAGGCATGAAATTTATCTTGAAGATTCTTTTTCTTTCTTTCTAAGTGTGGAAAGGATTTCCACAAAGGACTTGGATAGCTCCCGCTTTCTGCTTTGAATCAGGAAGACTTCCAGGTTTCTGGCATTTCAGCTGGGAAGAGGAACCTTTCCTAGTTAGAATTTTCTATAAATATGAACATGGGCTCAGATACCAAGCCGATACACTACGTCCCCCTCTTCTGCCTTGGATCAATGTTGTTGCTCTAAAACGCTCCCCCCAAAACGACGGCTCAGGTGGGGCAAGAGTCCCACTCCTGCCGATTCTGGCATCCAGCTGGACACCTGGACACCACCTGCTTCTGCGCTCCACCCCATTCCAAGGCAAAAAAAAGAGGGGGGGAAGGAGGAGACAGGCCCCCGACCCAGAGAAAAGGCCTCATCCCTTGGGGACGGAGAAGAAAAGCAAGGCACATGCGCCTAGGGGTAAAGTACTACCTTGACTAGACCTGCTTCAGACCCATCGCGATCAAAGGTCTGGCGAGCTTTAGCAATGGCCAGGATCACCCCTTGCATGGCGGGGCTTAGCATCACCTGCCACAGAGGAGAGAGAAGAGAGGAGAGAAAGAGAGGGAGAGAGAGAGAGAGAGAGACGGGAGGGAGGGAGGGGGAAAGGCTGCATTGAAACAAGCTCTCCGTCGTCCCACAGGTACAAGAACCAAGGTCAGCTCAGGGAAGGTTTTGTTGGGGTGGCTCCCCCCCATTTCCAGATCCTTGGAAGGTAATTGAGAGAAGAGACTCTATAGCTCAGGGTTCAAATGTGTGTGGGGGGGTCCCTGATGCCCTCTGAGCTTGGCTGTGATCTTGCAGACGTTTCACGGCCCAACTAGGTAACATCGTCAGTGCTACAAGGGAGTGAGGGGTTGGGCTTCTACGACTGATGATGTCACCTAGTTGGGTCACGAAGCGTCTGCCAGGAGACAGCCAAGCTCAGAGGGCACCAGGGACCCTCACAGATTAACCCAAAGCGATACGTAAGGAGCCACGCAGCCTCTCCGTACAGCACGACCACCTTGTGTCAACCCCGAAGGGAACCTGGCTGAGGCCACCTGGGAGGCTTCAGGGCTGCCACCAAGCTGAAGAAGGGGCAGGCAGGGGGGGAGGGGGAAATAGCTAGGTGGGGTTTTGTAGCCCAAAACAAGAAAGCTGGTTTCCTGTGGGAACCAAGGACATTTCGGCAGGCGGCTGGCCAGGGGAGGAGTGAAGTAACCAAGCAACCAGCCAGCACCTGGATTGGGACAGCGGGACCGGCGACTTGGGGAGAGGGGGGGAAAACTTTCACCAGGTGTGCCAATGCAAGGCATCCCATAGATGGCTCTTTGGGGGACAGGCCTGCCTCAAGAGTTCGGCTTTCCATGGAGGGCTGACCCGCCTTGTGCAGCTGGGCCTGCCTGTTTGCTCAGTGGGGTGTGGAGGACCAGCCACCGGTAAGACCCCACGGGAAAGGAGAGGGCAGTTTCGAAGTGGGGCTGGGGGTGTCCCACTTTGGGAAGGGGGCCCCATCAGGAGCGGAGCGGGCCTGGGGAGCAGCCCCTCCCCTCCCAGAGACGGTACCTCCTCGTTATAGCCGTCTGCATCCGACCTAACTAGGATCTTCCCCACACTGGGAATCTCCACTTCTGAAACTTGAGAGCTGGGTGGGGCAGGAGGCTCCCTCCGCCCCACTTCCGGGGGCTCTTCTGCCTGCGGCTCGGCTTCCTCGGAGGGGGCCTTCTCTGGACCTGCCTCCTTGGGCTGTGGCAGACCGGGGGGGGGGGGAGGGGAGGGAGGAGGAAGAGGAGGAGGAGGAAGAGAAGGGCGTGAGAGGAAGGCAAGAGGAGCAGCAACAGGGGCCCGAGGAGGGCAAGAAGCTCAGCAGGACAGGTGGGAAAGGGGCTGCCCCCCACGCCCCCCCACCTGGTCAAGAGCAGCCGGGACGCCAGCCTTCTCGTAGACGTCGGCCGTCTTGGCGATGGCTTGGGCGGTCTGCTCCTTAGCCAAGACGGCGTGCTCGGAGGAGAGCGAATGCGGCCCACACTCACAGGGGAAGGCGTGTTCTGGAAGGAGAAAAGGGACCTTCAAGGGTTTATGCTTTCCCAACGGTATGACGGGAAGCCCTTGAGGTTGGCAGAATCCACATCTGCAGCTAAAGGAAGCTGGCACTTCTAAAGGCTGACTGGGGTCGTCAGGAAAAGAAGCTCTTAAACAGAGTGTGTCGTGTCGTCGTCCCCCCACCCATGTAGCCTAGGGAAGATTCAGGAGCAATCAGAGAGAAAAAACCTAAATTTAGGAACATTTGGGCTGCCTCCCTTTTACCCAGGTAGAATCGATGAGGACCTTCTGATCTAAGGGGCTTTTTCTTCTGGAAACGGGGCCACAACCTCTGTGGACTTGAGGGCCCTAAATTGCTTCTTCTCTTGCTGCAACCCCAGGCAGGAAGGCAGCTCTAGGACACTTGGAAGGAACCCCCGCAGAGGACCCAAAACCGATGGAACGGGCCCACCAATGGTCAAGCCTCTTTACAACACCCTTTTTTTTTTGCCTGACAATCATTTCCCGCCCTGCAGTCTCGACTCCCTGTTTGCTGGCACCAGAAGGCGAAGGCAGAACTTTTCTCACCTTGACTGGAGTCCGAAGACGGGTCCTGGGACTCCAGAGGCTCGGAGGATTGCTCCATCTGGGCCATTTTGCAGGACTGCTCCTCCAGCTCGGCCATCTCCTGTTCTACCCTCCAGCTGTCTTCTTCGATGTGGCGTTGAAGCTCCAGAGGCAGCAGTTCCACTTCTCTCTCTGGTCGCCCATCCTCATAAACTACCAAAGAAAGACAAGCGGAGGGTCCTTGGCTGGCCTGTGTCTGAGCACCTCTTGGACAACAAAAGCAAGACAGGTGGACTAAGCTTGTTGGTTGCCCTTTTCCTCTTATTAGGATGCGGTGGCCACAAGCTGCTATTCGCGGCCGGGATGGTTATGTATGGTCTCCAGCATCAAAGCCCAGTGGCTGAGAATGGATCTGCGGTGCCCTGTGTGCACCAACAGGTCCAAAAAATTGAGGGGTTTTCCTGCCTTTGAGACCCAATGATTTATGCACTTTTATATATACTTGTGCCTTCAAGCCAGTCTCGACTCCTGGCAATTGCCTAGACAGGTTTGCCTGGTTTTCTCGGCAACCTTTTCGGATGTGCTTTGCCCTTGCCCGTCTTCAACTGACCCAAGACTTCCTAAATTGGAAGTTCCTCTTGGAACTAACCTACTTCCACCCCAAATAGATCAAACCAGGATGGGGAGACAGATTCTCCTTAACCTCCGCTCATTTCAAATCCCCGCGAAGGTACAGAAGGAGAGACCGGGGTCCATTCCCAACCAGAGGACAGGAAAGCTCTTCGGAAGCAGCCCATCTTAACGGATCCAGAGCACCTGACCCCCCCAAGGCGGAAGAGGCATCCCCAAGGACCGAGTTCAGATTCTCACCAGCTGCGAAGTGTGGTAGCTTCTTACTAACATAGATGAGGCAGTAGGCGCTGGCATTTTTCAAGCCACCAAAGGAATCCCTTTCCAGCTCCTCCCAGGAGGACTCCGTCACGGCGATGTCGTTGTACTTCAGCCAGGCCCTTTGAGGTAGGCTGTAGATGTAGGCCCAGTAATGGCCGGCGTTGGCCTGGCCCTCATGGACCAACACGGCATGCAAGTGATAAGGGACCTGGAAAACACAGCCACAAACACAGACACCGTCGGTTCTCGGGTTTATTTTTAGAGAGGTTGAAGTAACCTGACCACCCTGGGGAGATTCGACAAGGCAAATTCTCAGCTGTCGCGCCTGGAGAAACGATCCATTCATATAATCAAGGCTTAGCGGAGATTCCTTTCCTGGGGGAACAACAAGGCTTTCTACGTTGGGAAGCGGGGCTGCAGAGACCATTGTGACCAGACCAGTCAGAGTCCAGAGCCAGCCACAAGTGACACATCCAACCGATTTGACACTCAATGGGAGCCATTCGCCAGGGGGAACTCTTGCAACTAGCAAGGCCTTGATGGGTGATCCTGTCGGGGATGGAAGAGCTCAATGCTGTACAATCCAGAACACGCCCAAGCTCTGGTTTGTGATCTACTTAAACTAACGGTTTCCAAATTTGGCAACTTTTAAGACTTGTGGACTTCAGTTCCCAGAATTCCTCAGCCTGCCCTGGCTGAGGAATTCTGGGCGGTGAAGTCCACAACTCTTAAAGTTGCTAAGTTTGGAGAGCCCTGCACTAAAGAAAGAAGGCAGGAGCTCTCCAAGCCAAAATGAGGAAGTTCCAGCTCTTCCATTAAAATGCTCAGCCTCTGCAGTCTCTCTGGAGAGGCAGCACGGAACAAACCAGGGCACTTGCCATACTCAGAAGTCCCATCTTGCATTTCAGTATTTTATGAGTTGACAGCGTGGCAAAAAAAAACAGATACAAGTGCCTATGCTTTAGCTATGATTGACACAATATCATTTTCAAAAACAAGGTAAAGGCACTGTTTGTAGGAGAATGTAGAGTCTGAATTCCCAGGTATTCCCAAATTAAATCCTAGAAATTTAGTCTGAGACCTCCAGGCTAATTTTACATGGAGGAACAAAAATGGAAAGTATTAACTAATTCCACCATGGATCTCTCCCTTATATTTGGGGGGAACTGGTGCCAATAGGAGGTCAGAAGCACCCACACAACCAGGAAGAATGACAGACACCCTACCTGGCAGAGCTGAGGGTCAGTATAGACATGATCCATGGACTCAGAAAGCATCAGCATGGAAGTCTTCAAGCCTGTTAATCAAAGCAAAACAGTAAGCGAGTGAGCAACGGCCAAGTTTTGTTAAAGAAAAGGAAACATTTGCTTTACCAATCTTTAGAGCAGGGGTCTCCAACTTTGGCAACTTTAAGACTTGTGGACTTCAACTCCCAGAATTCCTTAGCCAGCAAAGTCCACAAGTCTTAAAATTGCCAAGGTTGGAGACCCCTGCTCTAAAGACGCTTCTCCACTAGTTGTGCAATCAGGCCACATAGGAGATTTGTGATTGATCACAAATGTCCCTCACAGTTGCATGTCAGGCCATTTTGTGGAAACCATTCTCCTCCCTGGAGACAACCTGGGCCAATGCTCACATTCAGGGAAAGGCTGGCCCTGAAAGATGGCTGGATCTACGTGGATGACCTGGATGACTCAAAAATTTGAGGATGTCCTCTTTGGCCAGACAAAGAGTTGTCCTTGGCCAAGGAAGCTTCAGACCCTCGTCCTGCCATGAACACTGCAAAAGGCTCCGAGAGAGATCAGTTATGACTTCCTGATCACATCCCGCGAACAGAAAGAAGGGACTTAGTACTGTGGCAGGTAGATGGCACCTCACCTGGCCACCTTCTCTAGTTCAGGGAAGAAACGGGATGGAAACCAGCCCGTATGCAAATGGGAAAATCTCCGCAGCAACTCTTGAAAGGTGAAGTGTGAGATTATCCGGGCACAGACCTTCAATGTCTTGCTCAACCTCTTCCCTCCACTTCTGCAGGCAGGAAATGACCAGGCTCGTCTCGTCTTCGGAGATGACTTCCCGAGGAGCCGCGGGCTCTTCTGACGTCTCCCCTGGGCACCTGGGGAGAGGGAAAGGTGTGCTCAGCCAGCTGATGGGAACTGGGGCTCTTGGCTGGGGCCGCCAGCTCTCCTCAAAATCCAGAGAGGGAAACAAGATGGAAATCAGGAGGACTGCTTTAAAAGTGCAGCTTTGACCAACAGGCATTTTTCTTTTTTTTTGAATTTCTAAACCGGCATCATTTCTAGGGGGCAAAATAATCAGATTTATCACCTGATTGTTTCAGTCTGGATACAGCCACGATGGAAAGCTTGGGCCAGTTTTTACCTGCTTGGCTTGGTCTGGGTTTCCGAGGGTTCTTTTTCTGCCCGAGTTTCTGCTGTTGTCATAGTCGCTGCGCAGGACAGCTTGGTCCTTGCAAATTCAAGAACGGACTGCAGCATATCCGGCAAGGGAAAGCGGTCTGAGCCAGAACCGTACCTGAGGTACCTAATGAGGAGGAAAATATCATCAGCCCCACCTCAAAACCACCAGTCTTCCCTAAGTCAACTTAGCAAGGCCTTCCCTTTCAATAGCAACAGCGCTTAGTCTCATATACCATTTTCACAGGGCTTCACATCCTTCTTTAAGCAGTTTACAGAGTCAGCCTCTTGACCCCAACAATCTGGGTCCTCATTTTACCCACCTCGGAAGGATGGGAAGCTGAGTCAACCTTGAGCCGGTCAGGATCGAAGTCTGGGCAATACTGCGTTCTAATCAGTGTGCCACCACGGCTCCAAAGTATCCCATCAGTGATAAAAGGTTTATTTTCCTTTACCCCTCGAACATGGGGGCATATATTAAATCATGGCTGGCTACTGATATGTTTGGAGTGCGAGTCCCATTTTCCTGTCCTGCTCCTGGGCCTCTTTGAACAGATTCTTCGAATGGTACGAGGGGCAAAACCTCCTTTGGAGGCTGAATTACAGCAGCAGAATAGAGCATGAGCTGGCAGGTTGGCCGTCATGTCTGAAGAGCAACCTTGTGCAGCTCTCCAGAAAATCTAAAATAAATCTACCTGGGTAGAGGCCTCTAAAAAGCTTCATCACGATACCCCTACCCAAGGACAAGCAGACAAGCTGAACTGGGCTTTTTTTCCCCCCAAGGCAAGAAAGTGGGAGAGAGATGCCAGCTGGTTGAGCTTCTGCAAGGGAAAATCCAGAGCTTGAGAAGGGCTGCCTACTTTTCCAGCTGCTGCTGCAGGATGGTCATCTGGTCTCTCAGTTTCCCGATCTCTTCTCTTTTCGCTTGAGTAATTTCTTTATTGCCATACATAAACCTAAAGGAAAGACAGTTTTGACCGCTGCATCCCACTTAACGCAACCCCACGGTATCCTTTTTTTTTGCAGATTTGGAAGTCTCAAGCCATAAAGCTTCCACCCCACCCCCACCTTACCTATCCATGTAAATGACTGGTGGGAATTCCAGCTTGTTGTGGATCTTCTCTGGCTGCCCAAGGGATTGATTGAACTCGAACCGGGAAAGTTCAAAAGTCAGGACTGGGGGCAGCTTTGTAAACCACCGCTGAAATAGACACACAACAGGTTAAGATGGCTGGGGGCTAATGATAAGCTGCCCTTTTCCACATTCACAGTGTTCTCCATATGCAAGCAGGAAAAACAATTACTTAGATCCCATTTCATGTCATACCCAGAAAAAGAGAAATCACCGTTTGAGTTCAGCAAATCTGATTGTATGATTTTGGTGGGGGGAGGGAAATAATCAGTATTTCGAGGCAGGAAGGCTTCCCATGAATCACTTGCTAAGTACCACGAAGCAGTTGTAGACAACTTCCGTTGGTTTTGCAGCCCTGTTTCTCAACGCCGGCCACTTTTAAGACACGGGAGACATCAACTCCCAGAATTCACCAGCCAGCACGGCATGTGTGAGTCGAAGTCCACGCATCTTAAAGTGGCCGAGAATGAGAGACACTGAATTAGAACCGCATGCTGCAAATGGATGGGCCAAGACTATTGTTTTAGGAAGAGCAGGGGACTGGAAATTTTAAGGGCAAAATTGGTGCTTCCCATTTCCACACCCACCAGCGTATTTTAAAAAGGTGGAATTCATTCTGGAGGGTTGCGAAAGGGGAGAGGCCCTTTTGCAACCTGCTACAGTGGCATCCCAGAGACAACTCCTGCCCCAAATGTGATTTCCTCATTTTTACAAAACCATTTCAAACCGAACATGGGATGAGAACAACCTCACTGCCATTCTACAAGCCCTGCTGGAAGGATTCCTGTCGAGAACTCCGGCTTTTAATAGACTCCTCTCGTTTCCTGCCAGACGGGCCCAAACCTCATGATCAAAACCGCTCCTCCTCTTGGCGGCTATTTGTGGCTAGTCTGTTCTACTGGGATCTATGAGAAGGTGCTGCAATGTTGACTCTTTCCAATGGATTTGGGAGAAGCCCTTTGAAAAAAAGGCTTTCACCTCCCCTGGTTGTTTGTTTGTATCACTGAAGAAGAAATGGAACGAATGCCTTTAACTAAACCAGTGAAAAAGTTTCCCAACTGGACATTTTGTTCTGGGCCAAAGGCAGGGTGGCTGGAGCCATTCAGACCCCCCTGGCTACAAGTGTGACAGCTGAATAGTCCAATTCTCCCAACAGGGAAGGGTTTCTTGGATGGATGTCTATGGAGATTCTCAGTCATCCAGGTCATGGTTGCCTCAAAGGTGCTTTTAAAAACAAAACAAAACAAACTGGACTTCCTTGGTTTTTTTCTCTGAAAACGTTTCCCTTCTCATCCAGGAAGCTTCATCCGTTCTGACTGGATGGTTGGTGGTGGGGAATAGGAGGATCCTGTCAGAATTAATCCTTCCATTCCCCACCACAATCCAACCAGAACTGATGAGAAGTGAAATGCCCTTTTCTTCCTCAAGGGAACAATCATAGTTCAGTTGCTTTTTGGAAAAGCACCTTTGAGGTTTCTTAGGTGCTTTAAGTGTTTTCCATATATTCGGTCTTCTGACCACAAACTGAACTACAATGCTTTGGGTTAACATCTCCCAGATGTAGGAAGTGTCCTGAATTTCTTTTCTTTTCTCAACCTTGGGGACTCAAACGAAGCCTGGACTTCAACTCCCAGAATTCCTCAGCTGGCCGTAGGAACCGCAGGAAGCAAACCAGGATAGTCCTGAACAGATTTCCAGTACAGCGGATGTAAACAACATGATTACTTTAGGATTTATTAAGTTAAAATCAATAGATGGTTTTTGCAGAGTGGGAAAGAAAGAGAGAGAGAGAGAGTGCAACGTAAACTCAGGTACAAAGACAAAGTTACAAACAAGAAAAGCATACCATTAAATCAAAAACTGTAGTTTTATCCCCCGAAAATACGGAGGCACGGGCTGTTTCCTATGGGCAGGCTTCAACAGAAAGAAAAATATTTTTATCACACTCGCACCCTGGACACAACATGTCAAATGTAAAGGTCACGCACTGCATGCTGTTAAGTCATTCCACAGCATTCCCTTAACTCCAGCATGCTCTCGGACATCGTATTCTGTGTTGTCAAGTTGGTAACTGGCAGGTCTGTCCTGGCTCCCTCTGAGTTGTGTAAATGCCACAACACTCACCTCTTGCGTATAGGTCACCGCCTGCTTGGAAGGCCCCGACTCGCCCTCCTTCTCCACCATGGCTCCTTCCAAGCATTCGTGCAAGTTCTTGTAGCCGTTGACCTGCAGGGGGTACTGGCCAAAGGCCTCGATTTTGGAAAACCTCTTGCCTAAACAGGGGAGGGGGAGATGCCCATCAGTAAGGACCCTCTGTGGCGCAGTGGTTAGAGGGCAGTACTGCAAGCTACTTCTGCAGCAGCTGCCTACAATTTGGCAGTTCAAATCCCACCAGGCTCAAGGTGGACTCAGCCTCCCGTCCTTCCGAGGTGGGTAAAAGGAGGACCCAGATTGTCGGGGGCAAGAGGCTGACTCTGTAAACCGCTTAGAGAGGGCCGGAAAGCACTGTGAAGCGGGATATAAGTCTAAGTGCTATTGCTATTTAAGGAGAAAAAAAGCAAATCCCAAACAGAATGTCCTTCTAAATGGGGGAGGAATAAAACCAGAGGAAGCTGCAAACGGCGCTTCTCAGGTGTTCCGGCTTACCTTCGTGAACCCCTTCAGTTAGGAAAGTCCCATAAAAAAGCTGAACCATGGGGTTCTCCGATTTGTCCTGGGAATTCCTGTTGCAGAAGGAGAAAGCAAGGGGAAGGTGAATTGGGGATGCCGAGTCGAATGAAAAGGACTAGGAATGACATAACAGCAGCATTCCAATATTTGAGGGGCTGCCATGAGGAAGAGGGGGGTCGATCTCTTCTCCAAAGCACCCAGAAGGCAGGATAAGAGTCAATGGATGGAAACTCATCCAGGAGAGAAGCAACCTTGAACTAAGGAGGAACTTCCTGACAGGGAGAACAATTAATCAGTGGAACGATTTGCCTCCAGAAGTTGTGAATGCTCCAACACTGGAAGTTTTTAAGGAGAGATTGGACAGCCATTTGTCTGAAATGGTATAGTTTTTCCTGCCTGAGCAGCGGGCTGGACTGGAAGACCTCCAAGGTCCCTTCCAACTCTGCTATTCTGAAAACAAAGTCACCATTTTTCTCACAAAACAGGGTGGTAAGACTAATCACCAAGGCGACTTGTCTAGAAGCCAAGCAATGCACTTTTTCCATTTGGCCTTTAGGGGATTCATCCAGAGCAGAGCTCTCCAACCTCGGCAACTTTAAGCCTGGAGGACTTCAACTCCCACAGTTCCCCAGTCAGCTGGCTGGGGAATTCTGGGAGTTGAAGTAAGTCCTCCAGGCTTAAAGTTGCTGGCTGGGGAATTCTGGGAGTTGAAGTCCTCCAGGCTCAAAGTGGCCGAGGTTGGAGACCCCTCATCTAGATCTCACCAAGCTCGGGTGGCAGATGGGAGTTCAGGACCCGATGCCCCTCCCTTCAAGGGGCTCCCCATTTCGATGAGGAGCCCTCATACTGGAGCCGACTGGGACTCCTCACGCTTGGGCTTCCTATAGGCAGAGAGCTGCCAGCTACAGCCAGGAATTCAGCCCAGAACTCAACCGTTCACGCCAAGCCATAGGTGACGGGATGTTGCATGTCGATTCCCTGCCATGTACAGTGCTTGGTCATAGGGAGTCCCAGGGTGAAACCTGAGCCCTGGGGAATGTTAGGAGCTCGCCTGGTTACAAGCCAACTGTATTGGATCTCATGATCATTTCACTCAGGTGCTCAGAACAGGTCAAGTTACTGGAAGTCAGAAATACACTTTTGCTTCATTCAGGATCGCCTACGTGCCCACTCTGCCCCCTGACACCTGGCTGTAGCCCAGAGAGAGAGAATCACACCATCCTAGAGACTGGAAAACAACAGGCATTGTTGTTGCTGGTTTTAAGAAAAACATCTTCACGGCAAATTCTGGCAACTGGGCAGCTTCACAAAAATAAATCACCAAAGCTTCTTCTGACTCACTCGGCCTCCACTGTCAGTTGGAAAGCATCTTCCAGCCAGTCCAGGAGTTTGTGGGTGAACTCGCTCACATCTTGCTAAACAGGAGACAGAGGAAGCAGCAAAGGTTAGTTTCTGGAGACATTTACCC